ATTGGCAGACTCTGCCGAAACATTGGTAGACTCTACCGATGTATTGGCAGACTCTGCCAATATCTAGAAATACGTAGACTCTGCCAAAACAGTGGCAGACTCTGCCGAACATTGGCAAAGTCTACCAATGTTCGGCAGGATCTGCCAATGTTTCGGCAGAGTCTGCCAAAGACAATTTTGGTATTATGAAGAAAAAAAATTCAGAATAAGTTATTTTAGCAATAAAAAAATGGTAAGGTTATTCTATCTATTTTTTTTTAAAAGTAGGTTATTCTAGGTAAATTTTTCATTTTTTTTTGTTATTAAATATATATGAAGCCCATCAATGATGGAAACCCTAGCTCTTTATTACATCTATATATATAGGTTGTTCTATGTGTTCCTCATCTCAATTGTGCTACGTTTATAGTTTTAGGGTTTGTGTTCTTTTTTTTTATTTCTATATACATATTCCCTCATAGATAGATCTACTCTTTTTCGAATCTTATTCGTGGTATTCTCTTTTCCAATTACTAATTGTTTTTTTTTCTTTTGGAACAGTAAAACTCCTCACGACGATTTATCATGGTATCTGGTATATTCACAACGATTTTTTATTTCCATTAGATATTCATAATTTATTAATTAATACTACTTTTTGTTCGAAGTTGTTTTCTTTGTTTTTGTGATTTATGTAGTATAATATCCAAGAAATTATGGAGTGATTTATAGTCTCTATGCTTACGTTAACGGTATATTGTTTTCAATGTGGGTTTCGATATGTGTTTGGTAATACATCTTTTTTTTATGAATTTTTTTTTGTTATTAAATATATATAAAGCCCATCAATGATGGAAACCCTAGCTCTTTATTACATCTCTATATATAGGTTGTTCTATGTGTTCCTCATCTCAATTGTGCTACGTTTATAGTTTTAGGGTTTATGTTCTTTTTTTTCTTTCCGTATACATATTCCATCATAGATAGATCTACTCTTTTTACGAATCTTATTCGTGGTATTCTCTTTTTCAATTACTAATTTTTGTTTTTTCTTTTGGAACAGTAAAACTCCTCACGACAATATATCATGGTATCTGGTATATTCACAGCGATCTATTTTTTATTTCCATTAGATATTAATAATTTATTAATTAATACTACCTTTTGTTCGGAGTTGTTTTCTTTGTTTTGTGATTTATGTAGTATAATATCCAAGAAATTATGGAGTGATTTATATTCTCAATGCTTACCTTAACGGTATATTGTTGTTAA